TCATCAATTAGAATAAGGAATTACCATTTAATGGTGTAGCTTACAATTCGAGAGGGTCCCCATAAATCACTATGAATCAGTAAAATTGGAGAGGAAGGAGTGTAATGATGGGGTGATGGTATACAATGATGTTTAATTAAATTGCAAATTTCATATTTAAAAGTGGATAGATATTTATCAATAAACATGGAAGTGTACAATAGTTTTAAATAATGAAAACTGGGATGACCGAAGCGACAATATAAAAACATAATTGGACAAGTTGTGGAGAGGGAAAAATTACAACTATGGGATTGAGTGTCCGCATTATCAATGCCATTTTCTTGAAAGAAGTAGAGCTCGTCTACTTGCTTAGCAGTTCCAATATTCCTCCCCGAACTACGATCCTAAAAGGCACAAATATCATGAGAAAAATGAGCAGCGCAATCAAGGTCATATGCCAATTTACTAATAAATAAGAGCTTACACTTAAGAATTACACTTAAGAAAATGTACATGTAACATGGATTTCAGAGTAAGCCTAACTGTTAGAACAACCAACCTTTTGCCACAATAGAGTTATAGGAGTCGTCCACAATTTTAATAGTCTTATTCGGAGCACGGAGGATATGTCAAGAAGAATTGAAAGCACCCAATCATGTGGTTTGTGACATCCGAATCAATAATGCACAAACTAGAAGCAAATACAGTGATTGCCATAGAAATGTTTTCGTGATGGACATGGAGGTCGACGGGTTAGAGGAGAACTGACTAAATCCAAGCAGCTTGATTAGGTGTCTCATCTGACTCTTGATGGTCTCTGGTGATTCGGGGATGGTATGAGTGGGGGTCGGTTGAGCTGTTGTGGATTCTGAGGTCTTAATAATACCTTTAGTAGCGGAAGATTTGGTTGAAGCTTTATTTACAGTCTTCCAGTGGAGCTTCCAACACTTGTTATGGGTATGGCAGGGTTTGTGACAAAATCAGTGTGGAGCACCATGATTGGTGTTCGACGGTGTGGCATAGTGTGGAGCACTGTTGGAGACCAAGGCTAATGACTCGACTGAGTTAGTAGAGTTGCAGAGCATGACAAGTCTTCGACTTTCTTTGCGGCAGACCTCGATGAATACAGCTTGGGTTGAAGGAAGAGGATCACGACTAAGTATACTACTGTTGACTTTGTTGAGATCTTTGTTCATGCCTGGTAGAATTTCGAGCACGATCCTTTTTCAGAAGTTTTTGAAAGAAGGAAAGATCCGCGGGTGAGTCCCACGTGTAGTCATAATAGCGGTTACATTTCATCCATAAGGCAACCAAGTCGTTGTAGTACTGTGTCACTCTCTTCGATTTTTGTTTTGCATCGCAGATCTTATTAGAAACTTCATAGAGTTGTCCAGAATTCCTTACGCCCGAGTAGGTATCTCGATCTACAGTCCAGAGGGCATGAACAGACGAAAGAAACAGGTACGGACGGCTAATTGAGGACTCCATGAAATTAATTAGCCATGACAACTATGAAATTCTACACTTCTCATGCTGCATATGTTGGATCAGTCTTCAGAGGTTCACAAATTGTACATGTAGGTGGCCAAATTTACTCCGACCTTTGACGAACAATGAAACAACTTGAGATCATTGGAGAAAATTCGAGTTGAATTTGTGAGTGATAATCAGGAAATTCATGGGGTTTTCATTTCCTCCTATTTGTGGAGGGATTGAGGTAGATGTTGATCTTCCGGTGGATTCAAGGACAATATCGAATGGAGCTCGACAGTGGAGAAATCCACCATGGCTCCGATGGAGCCAAAGATGAGGTTTGGGTGTCGAGATAGACATAGAAGATCCCTTAAGCAACTGGCAGCAAAACAAGGCATGCGAAGGAAGATTCCGACCGTCGAAAGGCAAGTTCGACTGCAAGAGGGCTTGCAGGGAAGAGATCTGGTCGCAGGAGGTAGGTCCGAAGACGGGACAACCAACAGGGGAGCGGCCGATGGTGGGAGAGCCTTCAGGAAAGGGTACTGGTAGCTGAAACCTGCAATGACAGACCGGCGGCGAGAATCCGATGGCTGAAAATACTGCTAGGAATGGTTTGTAGGGAAGTTTCGGCGACTAGGGTAAGATTTGTGACTCTGATACCATGTAGGTTTTAAGAATAGAGCGGGATAATATTATTGTTATTGAAAGCGGTATAAATACAGGATATAATGATTATAAAATAGGACATATATTATCCAAATCTCTCTAATAACTACATGATAAAAGGAAGGTTATAAAATAGGAAATAAAACAAATAGGAAACAACCGAAAAATAAACTAAATATTTCTAACAACTCATACAAGAGAGAAAAACTTATTTAGAGGAGAGATTTTCTCTATTTAAGGTTTGGACTTCCAAGTTTAGCAAAGTCATTATTGTGACGCACAATAACTCAAATATTCTTTTTTTCCCCATAAATTGCTGAGAAATACTACATTCGAACAACAGTTATTATGAGATCTTGGTAATAATTTTGTTTAACTGAATAAATGTTTATATCATTAAAATGTTTATTGATATTAAGGTCATTTTGTTTGATAGACTTTTGAGTATTATTTGACAACATTTCAAACTTCTATTGCGGTAGAAAGTTATATATAAGTTTCACTGATTTCCATGATTTTTGTATTCTACGGTCATGTTAATATTCTGGAGGGAACCATCTCCAGAGCTATATCCACGTTGAGCTTCGAGACTGGCTTTTTGATGCTTGACATTGTGGGTAGGTTTTGTTATTAAGGTGTTGACTGGACGTCTATAGCATCATTGTTGGTCATCTTTGTTTTTATGATATTGTTGCCCGACTCACGTCTTACACTTTTCAATGTCTTAATTTTATGGTTAGATTATTGGTTCGGTTGGGCTTCACCTTTCGGTAGGACTTAAGCGAATCTCGTCGCTAGCTTTGTGGAGATAATCGCCGAGACTAGTTAGTGGGGTGATTTTGTCTTACCCTTTGCGGAGCTTGTCGCTATCGGGTAGGGAACCACATCCAAAGCTTTATCCGTTTCAAGATTGGAGATCCAAGAATTTTGATGTGGGAGCATTTTGGATTGTTTTGCCGACAGAACCTCTTTGGGGTTGTTGTTAGCGCGGTTTATTAAATTCAACTTCTCCAAATGTCAATTGAATTTGAGAAGTTATAGATTAACTCGTCATAACGTCGGAATAGTTTTTGAAGTATAACTCCCCTTATGTGTTGAGTAGTGTGTCAACCGCTTAAATTTGACCGAGCGGTGCAAAAGTACTGTCCTTTGACCTATTTCGATCGTTGGGAGCCAGACATCCATTTTGTGGTACTCGTCTCCTAGCCTAATACCTCTAGGAAGACGATGTAAATGATATTTTTGGCTCCAGATCTGTTGTTGCATGAACTCCCTAACATGCTACGTATTTAAGAGTTTCTTTGAGATGCATTTCTCCTTATTTACGTCACTTCCCTTCTTGTTAGTAACATGCTTCACACTCACCACACCTTTTAAGATGTTGAATCTAGATTTGTTCGGGTAGGTATGCCTAGTATCAAACTGGTAGAAACCTTGAGGGAAAAGTAGAGAGAAAAATAAATAAAAGAGCACACAAAGATTCGCCCTATAGGGCTGAACTGGGGTATTCTCAGGATTTGTGAGACATTTTATATACAAAAGAGAGATAGAATGGTAACTTGAGAAGAGCCTAGAGAGGGAAAAAACCCCAAACACATGCTATGGGCCCCCTATTTATAGGAAATAGAGAGCCAAAGGTGGAAAATTACACATCTGCCCCAGCCTTGATAGGGTTGTTACATGACATAATATCTTATGTTGTCTTTTCGTATTTGTAACTGATTTTGAATTCCTTTTATATTCTGGAACCTTATGGTCGTCATGTCTTTAAGTCGGTCGACCAAACTTGTGTCTGTCTGCTATTTTTCCTGGATGATGGTTAGCTTTTACTATGGGAAGCCAATTGGCTTTGAGAGAGGCAGCCAGTCAACCTGCTTATTCCTTAGTTATTTTTGGAGTTCTTTAAGGATTTTTGGGGGAGTTGTTGAGAGAGCTTCACGTTGGTAGTGGTGAGATTGTTGGAGGTACCGGTCCTTTGTTCGGTGGTTGGCATGAATGTCTGTCTCTTTTTGGTTGTTCGCCAGCATTTGGTCGGTTGGTGGTTCTTCAGTCGGTCGGTTTTACGAGTACTTGTATCTTTTCATTGGAGGGATGTTCCTTGATTTATCTTTTTAAATTTAGACCGCTAGGCTGTCTCGAGATTTATGCGGACGTTTGTTCGTTGTACAATCTAGAAAAATTTGATGATACGTGGGATATGGTAAGATATGAATTTGACTTCTTATGGAAAGAAGTGCACTTAGCGTAGCATGATTAACCATTTCCAGTTCACTTTGCTAAGCGGGTTATAATTTTTCTTTTTTCAAAATAGTGCAAGTTTTATTGAAAAACTTATCATTATGTTGATTTAATAATTAGGTGGCATTTATATACTTACCGCACAATTCTTATATATATATACATATCTAAATCTAAACTTTTATACATGCATACCAATCAAATTTTAACATCACATCACAGATATCACTATTAAAAAGTGAATACACATTTTCATGCATAGATTTATAACACCAAAGTGTTTTAAATGAAAATATCAAACTTTAAGTGTTAGATACATAAATACATAAGAATTGTATGATATGTATGTAAATTTCCCTAATGATTATTACCAGCTATATTCAAGCTTTGAAGGATTTGGATCTACTTTTTGAATTATCGTTAGCAACTTCTCAACATGCTTTATGTTAACCCAAATGCATTTTGAAGGGAATTTTTTGTTCCTTGACCTCCTGCAGTTTGCCTTGTAATATCTCCATGCAAATGCTGTTTTAAATTTTGAATGAATTTTGTAAATGATATTTGATAGCCATACAATTAGGATCAGACTCACCAAATACTTTATCGTTTGCATAAATGTGATTTAGATGCTTTAAAACCAGGTAAGGGTGCTTGATCCTGAAGCATACACTTACGATGAAGAAGTGATAAAAAAGGCAGAGGCAATGGGAAAGCCAGGACTGATTGAAATCTCTGCCAAAGAAGACAGCTTCATCTTCACAGTTGAGTCTACCGGTGCTATCAAATCTTATCAGATGGTGGCCAATGCTATCGAAATTCTGAAGCAAAAACTTGATGCGGTTCGCTTGCAAGATTCCGAGGAGGCTGATATTGGAGAGCTGGCTCAACATCTTGGACGTGGAGGGCTGTGATCTTTTTGTTGGAGCGTCGATTTGGTTTCTTCGGCCAATGACTGGCTATATTTATGTATCCATGTCTGCACATCCTGTTAGGTTTATGAATGTTTTTGGTGACACCAGTTTAGTTAGCCTGCATGTTGTAGATTTTAGTGCGGGGATATTGTTAAGACTGGTCTCTAAACTTTATCAACGTTTTGATTTTCTTGGTTTGGGTTTTGTTTTACCGTTTTGATTTATCAACGTTTGGATATTGTAGATTTTATGTATCCATGTCTGGAGGCCGTTGAGATGGTTCCAAAAGGAATATCACCCCTTAGTTGATCTTGCCTTGGGTTTGCCTTTGATGATTCTTGAGGTTGAATCTAGGATAGATCCTAAGGCTAAGCTTGAACCAGACCATGTATGCTCCTTCTTAGGATTTGCAAATAGTCATGGTTTGGGGGATTTGAACTAAGTCATGATGGTCGAATCCCTTCCTTTAATGAACTTTCATCTAAGTCCTGAGAACACCTCAAAATGACTTGATGGGTGTCATTGAGATGTGAGTAGTTTCAGAGACTATTTAGATCTCTTACTTTTCCATTCAACTAGACACGATGGAAACTTGACAAGTAATGAGTCATAAAATCCTAAGAATCTTTATTCGGGAGATTTTTGAGTCAGAAGAAAATGCTTTATAACAAAAAGAAGCTCACCAAAAATAGTCATTCTCAGGAAAACAAAAAAAATGTGAAAGACTTCAAAAAAAAAAATCACTCAACACTCTTGAGAGGAAGCTTTAGGTGAGTGGAAAAATTAGAAACTTTAATATAAAGAACTTTCTGATCTCAAAATTCTCCTGATAAGATCCTTAAGATATTATGTTTAGAGAATTATTTAAGTGACATTGGGATGCCTGATAAATCAGTAATGAATTTAAAAACATCTCCAAAATGAAAACATTTCCTTGACACCCATATACGAATGACGAGACCTACTTAGGCTAAGGGTGAAAAGAATTAAAGGATAGGGGCTAGGGAAAAGTACTTAAGGAAAATCCCACATGGACCTGAATTTTACAAAATCTCATATTTTGCATGGTATGTCTGGTCATTCTAGGATGCCTACATGAGAGCTCTTCATACCAGCTCAATTTGGTATGTTATGCTAAATCATTCTCGGTAGCGGCTTAGCCTGGGATAAAAAAAAAAGATTCTGATAAGCTGTATAAAAATATCTGAATGCCAACAATAAATTAAAAAAAAAACATACGAATGGCATGAGAGGCTTCTAGAAGCTCCGTGGGCTCTTCACCCACTACCTTTTCACGCTTTATGCGTTGACCTTCTGGGTCCAGCAGCCCTTCCTTTGGAAGAAAGACTTGCTTTCTCGTGGGTTCTTCATCCACTCTCATTACGCTTATGTGTCGACCCTCTGGGTTCGACAGTCCTTACCCAGAAGTTGAGTTGCCTCTTTGTATGTGGACTCTTCACCCACGTGCTTTCACGCTTTATGCGTCGACCCTTTGGGTCCGGCGGCCCTTCCTTTAGAAGAAAGGCTTGCGTCTTGTGGGCTCTTCACCCACTACCTTTACGGTCTACGCGTTGACCCCCAAGGGTCCAATAGCCTTTCATCTGAAAGTTGAGCTACCCCTCGGGATGATTGTTGCAAATGGATTTTATCCAACTCCCTATTAATGAGCAATACTTGAAGAGATACTTTTCTTATCCTTTTTTTCATGTACTTTTTGTACTTTATGAGAAAATTTGCTTTTAAAGCACTTGCACTTTGTAATCCAGTTCTTGGAGCAATAAAGAATGTGTATTTTCACAATCTCTTCATTATGTGAATTTCATATGATGATCACCTTGTGTATGTCAAAAGATCACTCATAGTTCACTACAGTTTTATGTAAGAGAAATTTTGTTTTTCTCTTAATTTGATTGCCGGCTCGTATTTCGGGCAAAGTGGAAGTCCTACGGGCGTCTTATACCTGGTGCGACCACCAATCTCTATCAGAGAAGCTTTACCTTTCTCTTACTTTATCTTTCGTCGATCCGCTCTACGCAGGGTCCGAAGACTACTACTCCCGCTCGTTGCGAGTATGGTTGATATACACATCCCGTTCATCTTTATGAATGTGGAGTACGTGCTTGTCCCCCTTGCTTTGAATGAATGCGGTTGAGATCCTTCTATGGAAGTGGTTTAGCTTAAAAGCTAGACATTTTTTTTGGGTAGACTATCGTCATAGTCTAACCCCATCTCTACATCCTCACAGTGTGAGCAATTCATATAGCTTTGTAGAGAAGAGGCATGTCGTATTGGCTACAACACTCAACTTACCTAGTCGATTCGTGCCTAAGCGGAGTACTTTCAAACCCGCATGAAAAACCCCTAGTTGGGTCACATCGATAGGTGTGTTAACAAAACCCCTTCTACAGGTTGGGCTGCTTTTGTTTCCCTCATATAAGAGCAACTGTGCTAGTCTTTAAGGAATCCCCATTGGGGGACGTTTTTCTTAGATGAGCTATTGTGTTCATCCAATCACTATGCAATTCAAGAATTGTCGATTAGGTATCTCTGGATGTGTGAGGTCAACTACCTCACGATAGAGTATACTTAGAGTCTTAGTACCTTTGAATGAAGGGTTTGTGGTACCCTGACTCGACTACTTTACCTGCTAGGGACCACTCCACTTTTTCTTTGACTACCTCTGTTGAGCCCTATCACTTCCTTGACTTCTCATCGATGTCATTTAATAAGCCTCAATTAGCTGATAGGCCACTGCTCATTTGGGATAATGACGATTTGTTCTCTACCTTTGATACACCTAAAATATATAGTGTTTTTATACACATTTTTATACTTATTTTTGAGATATTGTGTTTTAATGAAAGGTATTTATGTGTGTTTTTTAGGTACAATCAAATGGATGAAAAATGCTAAAAGGGGTGAAAAGGGTCAATTTTGGAGCAAAAATGAAGAAAGGTGCAAAAATGAACTAGGGCACCTAAGCGCCCAGGATCAGTGCCTAAGCGCTAGAGGAGCAGCGCCTGAGAGCCAGGTACCCCGCGCTCAAGTGCCAGAATTAGTTATGAGATAAATTATTTAATTTGAATGAATTTTTGAAGAGGTGTTTGAAGCAACCCTTGGTAAAAATGTGGGAAATAACCCATGGACACGAAAATTCATTCAATTGGTTTTTGAGGAGGTAACTTCTAGAAGATTTATTGAATGGAGACACCTTTTTTAAAAGAAACCAAGGCACCCCTTGGATTTTTATAAGAAAATACTTAGATTTTCCAAGAGAGGAGGCCAGCCACCCATCAAATTTATAGCCATCATCCATCTAAATTGCCGCCGCTCACCGTCGTCGCCATTGCCGACCACTTTTCTTTTTATTTTATTTTGAGTGTTTAGTTTATATTGTGAGTGAAGGAAGAGAATTCAAAAGAACTTCAACACATTTGGTGGAGAGGATTTGAGATAAGGGTATCTTTTTTTGTGATTACACTTGGTTTTAATTTAGATTTTTTGTTCGTGTGCATGATTTCTACTTCTAAACTCATGTGTGATTGTGTTTTCTCCATGGATTCTGAGTAGTTTTTTTTTATCTTTTTCCTTAAAATGATAAGTGATTAAGTGTTGAAAGGAAGTTGTGTAAAGTATTAGGCTTTATTGTTGGAAGAAGTTGTGATGATTTGAAACCTTGCACTTCATTTACTTCTTGAATTGGCCAATTAAAATGTTAATACCTATTGTGAGAACATGTAAGATCTGAGATGGTATTGTCTCAGTCAACAAATGGTTAGAATCATATACTGATTTCATGGATGAGAATGTAGTTTATGGAGTTGAGTGCAAATAAATAGGGAAAAACTTTTCAAGGGTGTATAATTAGAGGACTTAAGAGTGGCAGGCTAAAGCCCCCAATCTTATTTATAGTTTTAGGTTTTGATATAAGATTTTAGCCCCCAGATGGAGGGAGAAGAGGAAACTTTAGAGTGAGATCTAGTAACTTCCATGTCTAGTTGGTCTTCAAGACTATTCATTCAAACAAGACTATTCAAACTATAGATTAACCAATGTTCTTTATAGCTTCTCTAGTAAGGGTAAGGAATATTATTGCTCCTATTTGGACAACACATTTAGAATACTTTCACAACAGAACTTCTCTACTTTTTACTGATTCATGATAAGGAAAAAAATATTTTATTTATATCACCTTCATCTTGCAAGTATTTAGTTAAGTTAAATAGTTGCTTACTTTATTTTCATAAACAAAAAAATTACCAAAAGAATTGATTTTGCATTCCTATTTTAGCATCTTAAGTTTAAGTAAGAATATTTTTCTAAATAGATTTTTGTCATCTAAAATTTCTAAACTTTATAATTTTCTAAAGTGCATATAATCATTTTTTCTATGGGTTTGATATTTGGGACTTAATCAGAAAATCTTATATTACTTGATAACGATACGTATATTTGCATAGTATCCCATATTTAAAACTAAAATTGTATTCTTATTTTGTTTCATAGTAGAAAACTTACCTAGCTTTTGTTTTGGATTAAGTTTTTGACTTTATTGCAAATTAAGAATAACTATTACGGAAGTTAAAGTATATAATCACATACATCGTATTTTACATCTATATAAAAAGTCGGGATCATTTTTTGGCACCGTTGCTGGGGAAAATACGGAAAACACGAAAAATAGCAAAAAAAAGCTCAAAAAGAACTTTTTAGAAAGAAAATTTTCTATTTTTACAAATTTTTATATAAATTTTAAGATTTATTTTAGGAATATTGTAATGTTGTTTTTATATAAAGTTCTTGCTTGTGTGTTTTTATTTTTATTTTTTAATTTATTTTTATTTTATGTGTTTTATAGTAATGTATGCATAGTTTAGGTTCCATAGGACTTGTGTCTTACGACTCTGAATTAGAAAAAATAAAAAATAAAAAATTACTGAAAAATTTTAAGAAATGGCAAATCAAAATAATCAAAATGTTGAATAGTTTTGACGTTTAAGAGATTATGCAAACCCTACGGTGGATGAACTTCATTGTAGTATTCAAAAACCTGTTGTAGTGGCTAATTCATTTGAGCTTAAACCTGCTATTGTCCAAATGATATCAAATAATCAGTTTAAGGGAGCACTAACTGAAGATCCAAATTTACATCTTGCCAATTTTTTAGAATTATTTGTTATATTTAAATATGAT